ATATATTTTACGTTAAAATCTTCATATTCTTTTCTAATATTTCACCAACATATTTAATATCATCTATTAAATCTTAATCTTTAAGATTTCCTTTTAATAATAAATCAACCACTTTGATTAATCCATTATCAACCATTAATTCAATACATTATGCTGAAACATCAACTAAATTCTTGAAACAAGCAAAAGAAACTCTTAATATTTTTTCTCTTGAAATCTTTTACACTGATTCTATAATCATTCTAATTAATCCAATTTAAGGATCATTGAATAATGGAATTGATTCATTAGTAAAACTTAATAACCATAATGCCAAAATTGTATAATAAGCTATATGTAAATCAGTTGGATATTTCATCAATAGATTTGATATTCTATATATATATATATATAATTATTTATTACATTTTAACTCCACCACTCTTTATAAATTATACTGCTAATGAATCATGTTTAAGAAAATGTACACATATTGGCATAATCATTTAATCAGAAATCTTTAACTTATTTCCTATATTGATATATTTAATATACCTATTCCTCCAATAAATAATATTACCCATTCTTTTGCATCATTTCCTCCTTCTTCTGCTATTATCATTGTGACTATCTTTGCTGCTGCTTCATAAACAACTTTATCATATCCTTCAAGAAATAAGAATTATTTCAATTTAGGTACAACCTATGGTGTCAATGCTCTAATGAATTATTTGAAAAGTCTTTAATTCTCTATTATGTAATTACACATTTATACCTGATATTATTGCATCAATAGTTGTTAAGATATAAGTCATCAAAGGTTTATCATGTGTAACATTTTCGATTATGTCTAAAAGCATCTAAAATACACCAACAGAATCAGTTTCTAACAATTTTTTTTAATCTTATAACTAATCATCGTATTGAATATATACTTTAGCTTATGTAAATTTAATGAACATATCTTTAGTTTCTCTCTTTATAGATTTACCATGTTAATCTAATTATTTAAAGCAATCTTCACAATCTTTCAACACTTTATTTAGTAATTGTTCTTATTGATAAAATGTAATGGACTAACAGAAGTATTTCCTATTTCTAAACATATATTAATTATAAGATTTATATTGATTTTATATTTGATTTTATTTATATATTTTATAGACTATTCAAAATTCACTTACATCTCTTTTATTCTTAAAAATGAAATCCAACCAATTTTACTTAAAGAATAAAAGAAATCAATTACAACTTAATAAAAATAAATAAATATTTCATAACTAACAGAATTATATCATTTTATAAATCAAACCAAAGTGATTAGCACTACTAACGATTTATTGTCATTTATTTGTACATTTATTTATGATGAATCATTAATAAACTAATTTATATATATAAAATAAGATACTTATATGCATTGATAAATTGGAGTATTGATAAAATTGTATTTTTCTTCTTCATCTTTAGGTAACATCTATTTCATATAGAATACTTTTGCTCCTTATTAAAGACTATTAATTTCATCTCCTATCATCTCTTCTATTTTATTCACTATGTATTATAATGGTTCTGTTAATCTCTTTATCTTTAAATTCAATTTAGTCCATATTGAAATATTTAATCCATTTTTTAATTAAAACTAAATATATATATAATTTATATTACTTTATCAACTTCTCCTGGTTCACTCTACATCATAAATGGAATGGCAAGATTTAAGAATGTATTTCTATACTAAGTTGAATTCTACAGTATTTTAATCAATTCCAAAGTTTATAGAGCAGCAATACAAGAAGTAGTAGTAGCCATAGCTGGAATAATCTAATAATAATTAGAATATATATATTACTCTTCCTGCTTTTAATTTAGTCCACATCCAATCAACCTATTAAATACCATAATTAATTGCTCTACCATTTGTAGCAGCAGTTATAAATGATACATGATGATTAGTATCATCATCTTTTTCAAATTGTTAAGGTTATGGTAATATTGGTTTTACATTACTCAATAATTATCTTGCTTCTTTAATAAGTTGATCATAATTTTTAACTTCCTCTTCCATCTATTATAATTAATTATTTTTATCTTATTTCTCAACTATTTCTTGAATCTTATTTTTTTTTATATTCATTTTAGGAATCTAAACATTCTATATTAATTTATTTATATCATATTATCTAGGTATGCCAATATTATAGATTTATGCTGTTAATAAAGCAAAATCTTCAACAAATTTAAATGCAAATTCACTATTGAATTCTATAGGTTTAGGAGGTCTCTTGGGAGGAGCCCAGAATAATTTGCCTTCTTTGGTAAGGGAATTTAAAGGATAAGCATTCATTAAGGCAATAATATCATGATTAAAGAGTTTCTAGAATTTCAATCTACCCATTTGTACACATTATTAAAATGTAGTAGGATACTTCTTTAATACTTTAATAGCTAAATCAACTGTTTATTATTAAGGAGAAGGATCTTACATTAATTACACCAAAGCTTATGGTTTTCTAAAGAAGTATTATTCAAATTTATCACGAGCCCATTCTAAACAATGAATATTAGATTCTGGAAACATTCTTAAAGTACAATAAGGTATATCATTGTTTTATTCTGGATCTTATTTACTTGCATAACTTTCAGTTACATCAGGTATAATAGATTATACATGTCCTTTAGGTCCCAAGGTTCCACTTTCAATTAATGATACTTTATTTTCAACACATTTAGAATCAATAAATAATCTAGCTTATACATTATCCAAAGCATTTGTTACACAATTCATTTATGTATAAAAGTAATTATTATAGATATCTTATGTTTCTTGACATACTTTATCTAATCTTGCCACTATATTGATATCTGGATTCATTTATTTAACAACAGCAGCTGCTGTTAAACTTTTAGGTTTTCTAATATGTTTTTCTCTAAATAGAAATTAACGACTTAGATTTGAATTTTCTATTATGTCTGGATCTGTAACATATATTTTCCCAGATTTACTAATACCTAACATAGCATAATTTTTAAGCAATTCACAACCAATGGCTCCTGCTCCTACTACAAAGACTTCAGCATTAAATATTTTTTAGGTATTTCCAATAGTATTTTCTAAATCATTATATCTTGTATTGAAATTCTATTTGAATCCAAATTTCTACATACATTCTTAATATTTATTAATATTAATTTCTAAATTATTGGATAGTCCAATTTGTGCAAAATTGAATTCTTTTAATTTAAATGGAAGTATATCTTCAAATGATTAAACATATGCTTAATGAATTGGAGTATATTTTTTATTTATTGCTTTTAAAACTTCTTATGCTGCCATACCACCAACTAAAGCACATAAAGGTTAGAATTGTGTATTGATTGATAATAATGTTAATAATGATAATAATTCTTCTTAATATTTAAATAGTACATCTTCTTGATATCTAAAATTTAATATTTCTCTTAGATTTTATTATCTAATTGAAATAATAAACATTTTAATTTTATCAATATCCCAATTATTTGTTAATAAATCATTTGATGTTGTATTCATACAGAAATGAATAATATCTCTTTTAATTTTATCAATTCCATCAAATGTTCCAATATTATCACAATAATGATCCAATGAACTTATCACCTTTTAAATTCTATCAAATTATAATTTAATAGGTTATTTTTATTAATAAGCTACACCATGACTAAGATATTTAGTAAATTATCTATTTGTGACTAATTCAAATGATTATCTTTTAACATTTTTAATTTAAAATACTTAATTATAACTTTCTCCAATTCCTTATTCTTATTTAACTTCTTAAATTAATACTAAATCATTTTCAGTTAGATTATGATTTTAATTCTTAAATATAGTAACAACATTATTAGATATATTTTCAATATTAACTTCTGATAATTATTCACCATCTTTATCAACAATTGTAAATTCATTACCAAAATCAGTTATAATTCTTACAAATATATTTCTAGTTTATGCTAAAACAACTGCATGTTTATTTTAATTAGATGCTATACTTGCAATAGTTGGATCTTAAGTAACAAATACTTAAATTTCATCTAAATTTAATTCATCTAAATTATTTTCAAGAACATCAATTTTCACATATGGATTTAGATGTTTTAATTTATTTAATATACCAAAATCTCTTCTCTTATTTATATCTTATTCTGTTAAATAAAAATTACTACCTAAATCACTCATCTAAACTAATTAAGGATCAAATAGAATTAATCTTTTTACACCTGATAATACTATATTCTTTGCTATTTCAATACCTAAACCATTTAATATATGTATAAAAATAGTAGATTCACTTTATTTCTTTACTGCATCTAAACCAACAACTCCAATATATCTACTCATCAAATTTTATAGATTCTGATCATTTGAATCAAATTATCTTTATTATACATTATTATTATAACTAATATCAATCTCATTGATATTCAAACCTTAAGGCATTACTTTTTTATTCATTATTTAATATTATTTTTATGGTTAAATATTATCTAAATTAAAAATAATTTCTTTCTTTTTTTCATTTGATATAGTCTAGAAATCCTTTCCAATATTAAATTTCAATTTCTCTAATTCTACTTTTAATTCTTCATATATTTTAATTAAATCTTATTTATAAAGTAATGGTTATTAAGTATAAGTACATTGATTCTAAGTTTGATTATAGGTAGCTGGTAAATTAGCTTATTCTATCCATTATTCAATCTCTTTCATTATCAAATCTTTACGTAAATAAAAACTTTTCTTTATTACTTCTTCAAATCCTTTAGGTGGATTTTATAATTATTCTATCATAGCATATCTAATATTCTATATTTTAATGAAATTGCAATATCCTCTATTAGCTTATTCACCATTTGGTGTTCCCATTTAAGATTCCCATCCTGGTTCATTAAACATTACATATTCACTCATTACCATAGATTAAACAGAAACTAATATTTATAAGATAGTAGAGAAATTAGCAATCCAATTATCACCCCAAGTACCTAATAAACTTAAACAAACTTTTCCACAATTATATAGATTTGGATTAAATCTTACTTTACCATGTCCAGTTGTTGCTAATTTCATTTTTGGAGGTCTTTATGGATAATCATCACCAAAAAACATATCATATAAGAATGCTCCATGAGCATAAGGTGTACCACTAGCACCAAATATAATAGTTCTCATACAATCCATTCTATCATTATCATATCTTAAAAAGATGGAATTGGTAGCTTCAAGGGGTAGATTTTCTTCTATTGTTGTAATTTCAGAGATTAATTTCTACATTTTATTTTATGATGGATTGTTAGTTTATTAATAATATTCTTTCATATGTAATAAATAATCTGCATCAGTCTTTATTTCACATTTACCAACAGCTAATTTTTTCATAAATGGTCTATAAAATTAATGCATATTAATATTAACATCTATATCATTTTATTAACCTTAAGATAAATATTTTATTGTTATTAATTTTGCAGCATATAAACAATTTTCCACATATTGATACAATTTCATAAATTTATTTAGTTCTTCTATTTTTGAATTAAATGTTTTGATAAATATTATTACTTATTAATTAAATGATTCCAATTATCTAAATAAACATGTATTTTCTTTTGATATAAATAATTATAATGTTAATTCTCTTTATGCTAAACATTCAATTATCTATAATATTTTATTAAATGTTTTTGAACCTTCCAATGTTGTTATATTAACATTCTATAAATATTTACTTAATAGATTCATAATATTTGATTATTGAATAGATTCTAATACTCTTACATTAATAAATTCAAGATCTAATAATTAAATTAAACAATTTAATAGATTTTCTAAATTTATATCTTGATTATTCTATTTTTTATCTAATTAATTAATAATTCCTTCTTATTATTCTTTTTATTGTTTTTAATTAAATTATTATTATTCATTAATATATTTGAATCCCTTATATTCTATATCTCCATATCCAATACCCTTAGGTTTTCCTTAATTAACTGATTGTTTCTTAAAAAATTACATCTTTGGTTATTCAAATTTCACTTATGCTTATGGTTGAGTATTTTGATTTATTAAATTTAATTATTATTCTGTCTTATTTACTATCTTTTCTAATAATTTATGTTCTAATAACATTACTATTTTAAGAAATGGTTTTTCTTATATTAATTAAACTAATTATGAATAAATTAAAGAATTAATTTTTTAATATATCTCTTTGCATTCTTATTTCTTATTTAAATAAGCTAATGCTAATAATTATTATAAGAATCCTTCACTTTGTAAAATCATTTCTTAAAATCCTTCAATCTAACATAAAATTGTTAATTCAAATATCAAATCTTTATATTATTTACTTGCTTAAACTATATCTAAATATTTCTTAACATAATCCAATATCATAAATATACCACCTATCTTTTATTCAAAATAAGTTAATAATGATTTCTATTATTTACTTTTAATCTATATTTATTAAGTAACTGGTTTAATTACATCAATATCATTAATTGAATTCTCCTTTAATTAATCAATTTCTATATTTTCATTTAAAAATTAACTTAAATCTTATCCAGTTATTGTATTAGGAATAAATTAAATAGTCTACATTCTTAATTAAGAATAATAATAATTCATCTATTTCTCATATTTCTTTTTTAATGATTAAACATCATCTTCAAATAAATTATCTTTATTAACATCAAAAGTATATATTGCTATCTATAACAAATAACATTCTAAACCCTATAATGCAGCATTAATTTGATCCATTAAAAGTGTTTTCTCTTATAATTTTTTAAATGGAAATCCAAATTTGCTTTATTAAAAATCTGAAAAGTTTATACATGCAATAGGTTCATTATGATGACTAATTTAAACCATGTGTTATTATATATCTAATAATACATGAGGTTTCCCATCTAATGCATTTACATACCAAAAATGTTCATCTTAAACCATCATCAAATAAAATGATGATTCATTTGATCTTGCTTATACATAATTTTATCTCCTTCCATCTTAAATTAAATGATTAACAAAACATACAAGTTTAACATTCTCTTAACCTACCATCATTTCAAAAATAAATAAAACATTAGTTCTATTATCTAAAACTTTTGTTAAAATTTAAGAATCAAAATGAGGATTAAATGGACTAAATGAATGTAAATGAATCCAAGAACCTATAATTTATCTTTAATTTTCATTTATTATATTTTATTGAACAGGTATTACCTATTGTTATTAAATTAAATTAAGAGGTGCAAATTATATCTTTTCTATTTAAAATTCATCTGAAAATAGATCATACATTGCTTAATCATTATATTCTAATTCCATTTATTATTTTTCAATTTAAATTTTATTTACATTTTATTATTATTATTATTTTTAAATACTTTTATTTAAATTCTCTTATACTAATTATGTTATTTTATCACATTAATTTTTAGTAAGGAGTTCAGTTACTAAAGTTGTTGATCCTGCCATAGTTTTAGTTTAATTTGATAAGAATTTCTCAGTTTCAGCTTTACTTTCAGATACACTCAATTTTGGATGAAAACAAACAGCTACTAATTTCACTTATTCACTATTTAATATTGGCAATAAGACTTTGTATATAAGATCTAATTTTTAGTGTTACAATAATAACATGAAATCTTCATGCAAAATATCTATAAATTATTTATCAACTTATTCAAAACTTAGAATTCTTACTATCAAACTTACTATTTATTCTATTATTATAGGTTCTTTAGACCATAGTGGTGGATTATTACATCCAAATATAATTTAACATTATCTTAGATTATTATAAAGTGTCTTATGAAAATTAATTTAAAAAAAGGATTTCAATATTTCCTAATTTGTTGTAAATGCCAAAAAAAATTATAATAGATTTTGGATTTCACGATTTATGTCTTATTAAGTATTCTTCTACTCCAAAAGACTATTTAATATATTAAATAGAATTACCTCTCAAGAGTAGATCTGAGTATTTCAATTGTTTCTTTGAACAATTAAAAATTTAATCCTGGATCTGAGAAATATGATAATGCTAACAAATCTAATTTGTAAGGTTTTGCAAAATTAGTATCAAAAAGTTCATAATTGATTTTGTTAATTATAGAATTTTGTAATGATCTGACTTATGTTCTACTTACAAATGGTTTTGGTGGATTTATAGAAAATATTAAATATCTTGGCAAATACATTCTAATTTAAGAGAAGAAATCATTTTCTTTATTAAGGTTCTCTTCACTTAATATAATCTTCAATAAGAGAAGTATTAATGATTGATCACTATTAATAATAAATCCAAATGGATATCCTGTCCTAAAATCTTTTAAACCATATTATTATGCTAATTAATATGAAAAATCTGAATGCTATCCAATTTCATGAATTTGGAAGAACATCTTCAATAACTTAGTTAATTAATTAGTATATTCAGGGGCACCTAATTAATATTGTATATGATGATGTACCTTGCATATCTAAATCTGTCAATTAAAATAAATTAGCAAGGTAATTAAAAAGCTTAGCCTCTCGATTAAAAAACATGGAAACATCTTACAACATAGCTTCTTCTAATTGGGAAGTGCTTGCTTCTTACAACAAAAACACAAATCCTGAATCTTCAATATTATTGGGATCGAGTATTTAAATAAACTATTGCCCATTTTAAGCTTAAATAATCATTTAAATTACAATTTTATTGTTCTCTATCAAATTGTCCCAATTATTCTATATCTATTTGTTAGTTACACCCTTCGATATCAAAATAGTTATAATAATCATCATACGACATTTTTACTATTGTAATAAAAATTATTAAATTATAAGATATCACATTTTAAGACTATTTACAAATTTTTTATCAGAATTTCATCGTCAAATATAATGAAATTATTGCCGAATATATGTATTTATATATAAAATAACAATTCTTACAATATAAATAATAATCATTCATATATTACTAATATATTTGCATATATAATTAATGTTGTCATATTAATATAAATTAAATAATCATTTTTTTAAATGAATATTCTATCTATTTCAATTATCATAAATTTATGTATTATTTTTAATAATTCATTAAGTCTCCCTTTATATATATACTTTTATTAAAATAATATTAAACGGTGAGAATTTATAATTATATTTTAATTATCAATTTAATTATCATATACAATCTCTTAATTAGAAAAGAAGGCATGATAATTTAGAAATTTTTAGTAATAAATTTAATAAGTCAATATTTTTAGACTTGATGATTTATTAATTTAAATAAATAAATATATTGTTAATATTAATTATGTAAAAGACTTGGTTAGAAATACCTAAAAGACCACTTGATATCAATTTTGATATCAAAACCATAAGGAATCAAGTAAAAGATAAATTAGTACCTCCTTTTTAATACAATACAAACTCTGGATCCAAATAATTTAATTCGTTTAGGTAAAACGATATTCTATACCAGAAAAGAAAGCTTGCCTACTATTCCTTCATTTGACAATTTATAAGCTAAAATAAGAGATTTCTCATATACAAGACTTCAATCTACATCCTCTCTTCAATCTAAAATCACATCAACTAAAAAGTATGATGATTAATCTCCTAAAAAAACAATAAGGTATTATATTAATGAGTCTTAGTTCTATGGGCTTTAGAAATAACATTCAAAGTTATAGACAATAATCAATAATATAATAACCTATTGAATTAAATTACAGAACTTAATAAAAAAGATCTTTAGTTGAGAATCTATAATTAAATGAAATTGTATCTTTAAGAAATAAGATCGAATCATCATACTCAAATAGAAATTCACTCTCTGCAAAGTATACAGATATAATCAATTTTTAGTTATGTTAGTGAACTTGTGAAATTAGCTTAAGCAATTACAAATGCTTTGAAATGAGACTCATTAAATAATTTTAGATTATGACACATATAAAAATAAAATTATATTATAATATATATAACATATTATTAAAGATACAGTCTTATATATTAATAAGATTTACTAAAGATTGAGGATTCTTTAATATCACATATAATTAAATTAGTAACCTCAACATTTCTTTATAATAATAATTGAAATATAATTTAATGTATTATTTATAAAAGATAAATTAATCTTTAACTTAATTCATTAGTATAATAATGTTATTGGTGTCAAACTCATAAAATATTAATCAATTTAGAAATTAATTTAATCAAAAAAACTAGTATTATTATAATTATATTCATATATTGATAATATCTCCTATAATAAAAGATCAAAATTTAAGAAAGATTTGATAAGATGAAATTAATGAAAATAGTTGTATTAGAGAATGGTAAAATATTGTATTAAAAGATAAGACATTCATCTAATTTATTAGTTAGAATAATGATATAATAAATATATAAATGATTGAATAGATTCATTTATATATTTATTATCTTCCATATATACCTGCACTATGCAGTCTTTTCTATTGTGTTGGTTTCCCTATATTTTATTAATTGTGATGTCCTACTCTTTATTGTAAATAAGGATTATTGTGATTCCTTGGTGAAATATCCCGAATTCCATAATTTTATTTCAAGAATGTAGGTTTACAATATTACTGTCCTTAATTTCTAATATATATAATATAGAAATACTATGAATTTTAATCCTTATATTATATTTTTTATCCTTAATATTATGGTGTTTAAGGATGTTATTAAAATTTTTAAGGCTATACAATTTGAGGTTTGGCTAAAGGAGGTTTGCTTTTGATTGGAGCACCTTATGATGGGACACTAATTAATTTTTTTCTTTATTATTATTATTATTATTATTATTATTATTATTATTATTATTATTATTATTATTATTATTATTATTCTTATTATTATTATATTTCCATATTAATTCGAGGTTATTGAGATATAGGATTATCAGTTTCAATTTTAAGTCCTTATTAAGAATGTGATCTTGTAATTTTATTTTCATATTTAGACTTTGGTAAATTATCCTTTAATTACTTTAAATTAAAAGGGAGTTTAATAGTTTATAATAGTTTAGCTTATTTAACACCATTTTTCTCGACTTCTACTAATAACGATCCACTATTCTTAATGACTTTTGGATTTTTGAGAATTTAATCACAATTTGGTCTATTTTTTGGATTAACTTATAAGAGTATCTTTAATATATCTTATAGATCTTAACTATATTTGGATGGTATTGGATCATACAAACCTGCTTAAATCTTTTTATTTAATGACTAAAGATCTGCAGCTCTAAAAGGAGGTTGAAATGTAGTTAATTCATATATTATACAACCAATTGACCAAATATCACAAGGCCATGAATATTATTCACCTTTCCATACTTCAGGTGCAGCATAATCTATTATTTAAATGAATATCAATACATGGTGTTCCTGTCTATGTCTTAGCATTTGCCCCATGAGTTACCTTACTAATATTTAAATCTCCTATTTTATATATATTTCCTTATGGAATCTTAGACACAAATACATTGGCTGATTTAAGATCTCTATGCAATATGTCATTTTCATGTAATATTTTCACTCCTAGTGTTATCTATGTTAATATATTCCAAATTTCACTCTCTTTAATTCCACCTTCTAATTTACCTTACTTTAAAATCTAATTTAAGTCTCCACCTGATGCATATTCCATTATTACAAAAAGAATTCTTCCATCTTGATCTATAAAAGCATCCTTAAATTCTACTATATATGGTGAATCCAAAGATGCTAATATTCTGATTTCATTTAAAGCATTTTCTCTCTCTTTCAAACTCTATTATGAAATATTCACTTTCTTCATAGCATAATATTAACTATCTGATTTTCTTTAAACCTAAAGATATCAATTCTTAATATTACCTTATAAACAGAAGAAAAAGATCCTTCTCCCAATTTCTCAAGTATATTGAAATCCTATATTGTACTATTAGAATATTATTATTGCATGAAATTTTAATTAAAATCATAAAAATTTCAAATAAAATCAAATTCTTAATTCTCTTAATTCTCCCAAGGACTAAATTCTAAGGTAGGCTCACTATTTTTCAATTTTATTCTTTAAGATAATCTTCTCCCTTTTATCTATGTTTATTTTGATACTCCCATTTATTTATATAATATATTTGGCATTTGAATAATATTTTCCTTATTGACAATGATTGATGTACAAGGCAAAGGAGGTTTTGAAACCTAATTAACTTAAGGAAAATGTTCTTCCTCTACTTCCGTCTTGGTTTCAAATGATTTCTTTCTTAATCTATGTTTTTCTAATTTCATATGAATGACCCTTAATGCATTTTCACGCATTCTACCTAATTACAATCCTTTATAATAATCTTGCTTTATTTCATTAAGTGCACTTATTTATTTCAATCTTTCAACTTTCACTGACGTTGATCTGTGTTCTTTATTATATCCATATACAATATTGTAAAAATTTTATCGTTGATTTTATTGACAGTTTATCATTTAATTAATAAAAAGTAAATAATCATATAAATCCAATATCTAGAGGTAAAATAATATATTATATGTTTCAAGTTAAAATGTTCTTTTACTTTAAATGAATTATCAAATTTACTTTTATTAATTGAAATATATATCTATACATAATCAATTAATTCTATATGAAATATATTAATTCATTTTAATATGTCATTAATTAAATTTAAATATAATTAAACTACTTTTCATTTTTACTGTTTAATTTATATCTACTTAATATTTAATTATATTGAAGTTATCTCATAATAAAAAGTGATTCTTTATTTTTCTAAACAACTTATTCAATAAAAAAATAATATAAACTAACATAATATATATTTTAAATTATATACAAATATAACTAGTTGTAAAAGTAATCCTAATTAAGTGATAAATTATTTTAGAATATATTTATCTAATCATAAAATTACATTAAATTACTATATTTAAAAATTTGGTCTACAAAACTCTATTTAATACAATTAATTGTAAATAGATTTAATAGAAATATTATATATATATATACTATTTGTTAAATCATTCTATGATTAAACTTTTCATCTCATATTTAATATAATATACCTAATTAAGTAAAATAATCAAAAATGGAATTTCTACTTTTAGTAAACTTAATTACTATCTTAATATTACAGAATAATATCTGAGTATTTTTATTAAACTTAGTATATTTTTAATATCGATATATATTATGTATCTATAATGTTTTCGAAAATAATTAAATTTCTTAATTAGATGTGATTACATTCTTTTTTGTTTAAATTCTTATTATTCGTAAATTGATTAATCAGAGTAGTTTATAATATGATTAAAATTACATTCAGTCTCAAATCAAGAGAAAATACATAAGAAATTAATATAAAGAAAAGTAATTAAAATTTTTTATTAATGAACAATAGTGAATATATAGTGAAATTTGTTACAAGTTTGCCATAAGAATATTAAATTAGCAATAATGAAATAGCTGTTCAAGGAGATATGAATTAAAGTGATCTAAGTTCTCTAATTTAATAATTACTGTCAGCTGAGAACACTGATTAAGAATATAATTAATTATTTGATTTCTTTATAAATGGAATCAGTTTAAGATCTACTTTACATGAATTCATTACATCAAATGAAATTGCAACTGAAAAAACATTATAAATAGAATATTTATTTGCTGTACCAGAACCTAAACTTAAGCAAACTATAAATATGAATGATTGGATCATAGCAATAGGTAGATTAAATAATCAAATATTAACATGTTTATCTAATGGAGATATAGTTGTTTGTTCAGAAAAGGGTAAAATTTTGAAAACTTACAAAACTAAATTGGCAAAGAGTTTTACAATTTTTGATAATATCATAATTTCTACCCATTGGGATTGTAGTGTTAGAGTATAAAGACTTACAGAAAATTTAGAATTGATTGCTTAAGGTTCTTTACCATCATATGGAGAATGTAGTTGTATCAATAAAAAGAACACTAATGAATTTTGTGTTGGTACTTCTAATGGAGAACTTATATTCTTTGATCTTAATACAGTGAAATAATAAGTAATTGAAATGATATAGAACTTTAAAGTTCATTAATAATAAATAACATGTTGTTAATGGATTAGAAATAGCACTATATTGACTGGATCATATGATCATTCTATTTGTATTTTCAATAAAAGAACAGAAACTATTAATAAATAATTATTTGCTAAAGATTCAGCTATCATTGGATTATGTTATTTAGAAAATAATTAACAAATTGTATCTATTCATGAAGATGGTTATTTAAAGTTGTGGGATAGTTTGAGTGAATAATTGATAAAAATATATAAAAGCTCATTGTCTTAGTTGACTTGTATTGCTGTTAATGCTAATGGATAAGTTATAGTGGTAATATATTTTATAAATCAATTTTTAGAGTTCTATGGATGGAAACACATACTTATGGGATTTAAGAGGAGAAGTACCATTGTATTAATTGAATGGAGAAGGTAAATCATTAGCTTGTACATGGATAGATAATAAAATACTATTTGGAGGATCGACTAATAAATTATATGTGTATAATTGTTGATATATTTATTATTTTATTATTATTATATTCTTATCATTTATAATTACTATTCTTAATATATTAATTATTTTAATAATGAAGGCAGAAGTAACCAAGAGCAAATTGTCAAAGGAAGAGTATGAGAAATTCAAAAGAGCTGAAAGAAGAAAGAACAATAAGAGCAAAAAGAAATGCACTAAAGAAAAGTAAGAAATTATAGAGGAGGTAGTCAAAGGTGATGAAGAGTAGATTATATATGATGAAGAGACCTTTCAAGAGATAGAAGTATATATCAGATTGAATATTGTAGATAGATGCTCTTATTACAGGAAAACATTATGACAATTTTAAACAGGTTTTTGATAATTTCAATTAACATACTGAAAGATTGATGATGAAGACATATGAAAAGGTTTATGAGAATGAAAAAGAAAAGGAAAAAGAATAAGAAGAATAATAAGCAGCTGAATAGTAGTAATAATAATAACAATAATAAATTCAATAATAAATACATGAACCAAATTAAACAATTTAAAATTATTTATAATAGGGAAAAAAGAAAGAAGCTAAATTATCAAAAAAATAAAGAAAATAATTAAGATGGTTAAAAGTAGCAGAATTAAAATAGAAAGTAAAGAGACCAGATCTTGTCGAATTTTGGGATATCACATCTCCAGATCCTATGTTTTTAATATAATTGAAGAGTGTACGTAATTCAGTAACTGTTCCTAGACATTGGTCCTAAAAAAGAAAATATTTGTAAAATAAAAGAGGAATATTGAAAGAACCATTTTAATTACCAGATTATATAGAAAAGACAGGAATTGCAAAGTTGAGAGATCCTTTTGTAGACAGAGATGGAGGTAAGATGGTTAGATAGAAATTAAGAGAAAGAATGAATCCAAAATAAGGAAAATTAGATATAGATTATTAGATATTACATGATGCTTTCTTTAAATATTAGACAAAACCAATAATGACAAAACATGGTGAAATCTATTTTGAAGGTAAAGAAGAAGAAATGAGAGCAAAAAACTTTTGTCCTGGAAAGATGAGTGCTGAATTGAGAAGTGCACTAGGATGTACTGATTTTTAAGCACCTCCTTGGTTACCAAATATGTAAAGATATGGACCTCCTCCAAGTTATCCTCATATGAGATTTATTGGAATGGCCAGTATCTTTGCTGAACCTTCTTCTTATCATACTTCTGTTAAATAAGTGATTGAAGATTCATGCAAAAAAGCAGATTAACCAGGACTTTATGCTACATTTAAATATTATGATGAAGAGGATCTAAATGAATTATCATAAAAAACAGGATTATAAGCTGATGCACCTGTAGATAAATCATTGTGGGGTAAAATAGAAGAAGTAGAGGATGAAGGTGAAGTAGAATAAGAAGAAGAGGAAGATCCATAAGCTCAATAGAGATAAGAATAATAATTTGATAATTCATCATATCAATTTGGAGATTCAGAGACTCGTCTTCCTGGTAGATCTATTAGTGGACTCTAAACACCAGATGTAGATTTGAGAAGAAGTAATTAATTTAAATTATAATTTATATAGATTTACAAAATGATCCAAGACCTTTGTATTAGTAATTGGAATAAGTGTAGGTTGATCCTAGTAGTGGAAATTAAATATTTATGACAGGACATACATATGTATTGCCAAAATAATGATTATTATTATTAAAATAAATAATTCAGATTGGGATTAATGTTTCAAAATAAGTACTATATTTTGGAATATCTAATAGAACAGATTATGATAGAGGTGTAAACACATTTTCTCCAGAAGGTCGTTTATTTTAAGTAGAGTATGCCTTATAAGCAATTAAATTGGGTGCAAGTGCATTGGCAATAAAAGTGAATGAGGGTGTAGTTTTGGCAGGAGAGAGAAAGTTAAATTCAACACTCTTAGAACCAAAGAGTATAGAAAAAATATATGAAATTGATACACATGTTGCATGTACTGCTTCTGGATTTATTCCTGATGCAAGAACATTAGTTGAACATGCAAGAGTGGAATCCCAAAATCACAAATTCAATTATGGTGAATCAATAAATGTTAGAGCACTAACATAGATAGTTTGTGATTTAGCACTTGATTTTGGTGAAAGTGATTCAAAAAATAAAACAAGAATGTCCAGACCATATGGAGTAGCATTATTAATTGCAGGAGTATCTGATTAAGGACCATAAATTTATTAGACAGGTAATATACTTTATAGACTGAAAAGATCCTACTGGAACTATGATAGAATATCAAGCCAAAGGAATAGGTGCTGCAGATGAAGGAATTTAAAGTATTTTGAAGGAATAATACAAATAAGTAATATAACAAAAAAATATACAAGGATTTAACTTTAGAATAAGCTGAAAGATTAGCAATTTTATGTTTGAAGAATGTTATGGAAGAAAAAGTAACAAACTTTACTCATCATCTTAGATAAATAATAAAAATGTAGAATTGGCAGTAATTACAACAATAGAAAAAAGATTTACATAGAGAACACCTGAATAGATTTAAAGTTTAATTGATAAAGTATGAAATACATTAAGTATATTAAAATCAATATTCAAAATTCAACCAATGTTTTTGTTTTTTAAAACTTAAAAAAGTGATTAAAAGATTAAAAATGATGATCATCCTCTATCTTATAAGGTATTGAATAATCAATATCATCTTCAAAAACTATCTTTTTAGATGGAAAATATTTTTTAAATAGTTGTTTGTTACTGGATGCATATGTCACAGCAGTTTTTATCACTTCTTCATTTTTTATGCATTATTACTGTCCAGGAAATCCTCTTAACATAATTATTATATATACCCAAATCTAGCTTTGTACAATAATAAAAATTATTATATTGATGGTTTCTACTCATCCAAAATTAGTTTCAATACTCTTAAATCTGATTTGTCATCCCAAATTTCAAATTCTTCTTCAATACTTAAATTGCTTTCAGATGTTAAGATAGATATTAAAGATGGTACTTATTGATAATTCAAACTAGTCATTGTATTAAAATTGTATTCAATTTAACTTTAGTAATCATCCAAGTTTTCTTCATTCTCTAGGTTCTATTAAATATTATTAAGAATACCAGAATAACATTCTAATTATACTTATGATTTTGATTATTTTCTTTATAGTTTATGTGTTGTTTAATATTCTAATGCTTTAAGATGAGTGTTTCTAATTTCTTATTCAGGATGACTGTTTCGTTTTTTTAAAGGAAATACTTATGTTTAATTCATTTTTTAATTATTATTTTGTAGTTTATATGAACTTATAGATATTTAAGATACAGATTCAATAATTTATATGAAATATATATTTAATTAAATGATTTTATCTATGAGGCATATTATAAATCAATAATGCAATGAGTGCTTATGATTTTTTAATATATCATTGATCAACTTAACTTAAAAAGTATTAGGAATCTTTGCTTAAGGAAGATTAGGAGTAATGATGTCCAAACATGTTTCTGTAGATGCGTTGGATTCTTTCTCTCTTTATTTAAGCCAATTTTCATAGTATTCATTCTTTTATTTCTTTGTTCGTCTATTGAGCATGTAGAATTCGTTACATTCAGACTTCATTCTATTCTCAATAGCCTTTTTATGAAATCGATTATTTTAAATGCCCAAATTGTTCATTAGTTTAATTAATAATCAGTTTAAATATCAAATAGATGATACTTAATACCTAGAAATTTCAAAATTAATTAAATATAGCTTCAAATTTCTGGAATATCATAATATATGAGACTCAACTGTGATATGCATCCCTAAGACAAATTTAACTAAATAACAACATTTCTTATAAGCAATTATCAATATTACAAAAAAATTAAAATAAATGTTATATCATCTATCATTTTAGACCCTCTTTATAACCAACTTATATGAGCCATCTCTAATAAATGATTACAAGCCATCTCAATATTATTTAAGTATGGAGTGATAGCATCAAATATATCTTATTAAGTTAAAAACTCAAAAAGTCCATCTGATCCAATTAACAAAGCTCTATCCATAATATCCATAGTAAAATTAAATATTTCTGGCTTATCAATCACCCCAACTTTCTTTGCTACTTAATCACCCATAGATCTAGTCATGGCTAAACCAGGAACATTGGCATTACTCCAAACTCTCAATGGACCATATGATAGACCTTATGAATCTCTATAAGAATCAATCCTGCCACCATAATTTATAATTCTTTAGGCCTCATCAGCACATTAAGGTTTATGATCTCTAGATAAGTATTTGAGTATCCATCTATTATGGCGACTTAACATGATTGCTCTTGAATCTCCCAAATTTGAACAATAAATCTGGGTTTATTTAGAGCATATACTTTGTTGTGTAGCATAAAAAGTCCTATTACTGTAGATCCAGAATACTTCAAGTCAATACCTGATTGATTTAAGGCCTAAGAAACATGAGTGAAGATAGTTTATATAGCAAATTATGGACTAATAAATATTATCTATATACTTATTTTCTAATAATTATGAAAATTGAGTAGTATAAAGTTGAAATTATTATTTGAGGAAATTAGATACATGATGTCCATTAACTCCATGTCCATCAAATACTAAGAAATAATGCATATAAGTTTTGTTGGAGATATTTGATAAAAGGATATATGAATCTTAATTTTATTTTGTTGGATTTCCTATAATCATTCCTTATTTGGTTCTAACTGATATTCTAAGAGTGTATTGAAATCTTTCATTTAATCCAAATTTATCAACCAAAATTTGTTAATCTTAATATTTGGGAGGTGAATTTTAAGTAACATTTACTTATTTCTACTTTTTTCTTTAGTGACTCTATCTTGAAGTTGTTTGTTCATGCAAACTATATGTTGGTTTTCTTATTTAAAGTGAATATTGATGTTGTTACTAATGATAAACTGGTAAATTTAATGGTTCTAGTTTTTATTTATTAATATTTAATTATTTCATTATAGTATAGACATGTTAAATTTTTGATTTATTATTTTTAAAATATTTAGATGTTAGTATTTAAGATATATATTATTTATTAAAGTATTTTTACTTAAAAATATTACTTAAAATGATTTCATTGTAATTATAGATTCTTTTTTTAAGTATTATTATAAGATCAATATTAATGTATTAGTGAATCTAGTTTCATATGAATTATCATTATAGTCACATCTATTATATAACAATAAAATAAAATAAAAGAATAGTTATATACAATATTTAATTATAATGAGACTGTTAATTATTTTAAATTGTAATGAAGCATAGAGCAGCCGCTAATAGTTTAAATTAAAAGGAGAATGAAAAATGTGTTGGGAATCAATATGCTCTCAAGTACAGAGCACCCTTACAATAAGAATTACTTATGAACTTAAAGAATTAACAACTACGGAATCTAGATGCAATTAGTCAAATTTTATAATCTAAATTTTGTAAAGTAGAAAAGAGAGATAATGTTGAATACTTTAAATTTGATTTTAAATAATAGAACATTTGTGATAGAGTAAAATTCTTAATCAATCAACCTGATGATGATACTAATAAAACTGAATAATTTAAGGCATAATATAAGGTGGGTAGTCGTATTGGTTAAGGTGCTTATGCTTCAGTGAGAGTTGCAATATAGATAGAAAGTGATACAAAGGTGGCCATTAAAATATATGAAAAAACTAAGATTAAAGATTTATAGAGAAGAAAAGGAGTAAGAAGAGAAATTGAAATCTTAGAAAAGTTAGATCATCCTAATATAGTTAAAATTTTAGATACTGTAGAATCAAATAATCATGTTAATATAATATTAGAATATGTTAGTGGTAGTTCATTACACCATTTGGTTAGAAAACAACCGGTAAAAATTAATTCTAATCTTTAGGAAAGAAGATTAGAAGAGGAAATTGCCAAAGGAATATTCAAATAAATTTTAGATGCAATTCAATATTGTCATTCCAAAAATATTGCACATAGAGATATTAAATTAGAAAATATCTTATTAGAAGGACTTACTCCTAAATTAATAGATTTTGGATTTTCAACATCGTTCCCTATTGAAAAGAAAGTCAAAATGTTTTGTGGTACTCCAAGTTATATGGCACCAGAAATAGTTACAAGGTAAGAATATAGAGGAGATAAATCAGATGTCTGGGCATTAGGAGTAGTGCTATTCACAATGCTTTAAGGTGTATTTCCATTCAAAGGAGACACAGATTAAGAATTATATAGTAGAATCTAATCTGGTGAATTTACTATCATTCATGATATATCCAAAGAAGCTATTGCATTATTATATGGAATGTTAACTATTGATCCAGATGAAAGACCAACTGTTTTAGAATTATTAAATTACCCTTGGTTTAAAAAATATCAATAAAATTAAGAAAATGAAGAAATCAAAAAGAAACATAAATTACCAGATGATTTATTAGAAGATCTCAATACAATCACTAAAAATATGTCTTATATTACTCCTACTAGTTAAATTAAACAATAGTTTTATTTTGATTTCTCTCATCTTAAAAATAATTCCAAATAAAATAATACTAAAGTATTTATATTCTTAATCTAGGCTATTATTCCTAAACCAAATTATTTTACTACTACAAATGCTTAAACCAAACAAAGAGAACCTTAGTTTTTTAAAGTTGATAAAATTCTTACTAAAAATGAACGACATACTACTACACATTCTAAAGAAAGATAACCAACATTATCTAAAGAAAGACAATCATCTTATAGTTTTGAATCTAGTAGAGGTTTATCTTAGAAAAAGAATGCTCATTAATTGACTGTTCATCCTAGTTTCATTCCAAGTGAAAAAAGTTTCAATTCTGTCAAAAGTCCATCAGTGGGTATGACAGAAAAACGTTCTTTCAATTTTTTTTATAATTGATTAAATTTCTAAGGTTATTTACAAATTATTAACATATATGTTATTATTTTTCCATTATTACTTTTTTTATTAAAAAATTATTTTATAAACCTTTTAATATGATTATAGTTTCTTATTCTAAATTATATAAGTATGAAATTTGAGAATTTAAAAATAAATAGATTTTCATATCTATTAAATATAAAAACTAAATAATTATGAAATTAGAAACAATCATACTTGATTTTTAATTTCAAAATTTTTAGGTAAATATCCATCTACATTATTTTAGTCAGAAATCCAAATTTTATTTTAATATAATTTCTTTAATTATATTTATATATAATTAAAATTATATCAAAAATTGTAGAGTAAACTAAAAATTAGAAAATGATATTAAAACCTTCCTATTGTAAATTGATTAAATTAGATTAGGTTATCATAAGTTTATATATTTATGAAATTCAAGATTTATGGAGATACCTATCCTATTAGCCTATTTTTTCATATTGTATGGAATGTCTCCTGAAATATTAATAAATCAAAATAAATTGTTATTAAATGAAAAAGAGAATGAAAGAATATCAATTATATTAGTTTTATTTAAAATTGAAATAATTATATTTATTCAATTTATATATATGAGATTATAATTATTATATATATTGAATAAATATATAATGATAAAATATTTAATTAAATAGCATTTTTAATAAATAATAAATATAATTTTAAGGTATTTACAAGAATCTACTTTATTTTAAAATACATGGTTAAACAATTTTGAGAAATACAACATTAAGATGTTAAATAACTGTTAAATTTACTTAGTTAAATTTATATATCTATTTAAGATAGATAACTATAATCTTGAAATAATTTAGTTTAATTTCTAATCTTATTTTTCTATAATAAGCTAAAATTATGACAGAATAATAAAGTGATTCATTTGAACAACCATTATTAATTTTTATTTGCATTATTTAATTCAAAAATTATTATATTAATATTAATCCATTTTTATCCGACCAATTCTATTGTTCAAAGTCTTGTTTATGATTTAGAACACAATACAACCAAAACATCAATCTTTTAACTTTGTTATATGAAATTAAATAATAATCGACATGATTAGAGTCTTGCTTGAAATGAAGAGAAGGGTTATTAATTTAAAATGATTTATTTTCGGCGTTTCAAATTTATACAATATATAAAAAACAATGAATTTGAACCTATATATAGCTGTTATCTATTATAAATATATATGTAAATTCTCAAGCGTTCCAAATAGTCTAATAATTGTATGAATCAGAGTGGATGGTTTATGAGAATAATTCAGGTTACTAAAAATTTGAACATAAATTTTACATAAAATGAATCGATTTTAAAAGATGGATATTGCCAATTAAAAGGAGTACTCAATATAATTTAATGTTGTGATTCATTTTCAAAAATTTTACTTTATTGTATCTGATTATAGACATTCTCAAAATTTGTATTAAAATCCATGAATGGAAAATCTAAGGTTTTGATTGGTAAGACAAAAATGGATTGTTTGTTCTAGATTTTATTCAGTATTTTTTATTGTTCAATTTCGTTATAAGTAAACTTGAATTTCTGATTTCTTTGTTTTATTTTTGTTTTTAATTTGTTTTCTTTTCTTGTTATTTTATTTTATAGATATATTTAACTAAAATTATTGGTAAACATACTTTTCTTTCTCTAAATATGATGAAATTTGCTTAACTTTTTCTCTAGTTTCTTCATTTATTTGATGTCCTTGTTAAATTGATTTATTTTATGTAATCAAACTTTTAAAAAGTTATTTCATATCATCTCTGATATGTATTTGCTTTAGATCCATCTCATTCTCCTAACAAAATATACTAGAAATCAATAGAGGTTGTAATTTAGCAGTAATTAATGAACCTTTAATAAATCTGAAAATACTTACTTTCATTTGTTTTAAATGAGGCTTTTAATAATCGTCTGAAAACTTTTTTAACATGTGCGTAAAATTTATTCTTAATATCTTAATCTGTTCGATGATTTAATTCTTCAGCAATACAAGTCTTAAATATTCATAACTTTTTACCCATTTATTTCCATAAACTTTTACAAGTTCGAAAAGTTTATCAAGTTCAAGTTGAGTCAACTCACTTTTATTGAAAGAGATATCAAGGTAATTGAAAAATCTCTCCCTACATGCCTTAGTATTTCTTTCATAGCCTTATTTTCTTAGAGCTTTTGAAATTTATTTCCAGCCAAGTCTTTCATTTTAGTATTTATTTACTAATTACTTTAAGAGTTTATCTTCCTACTATACTAATTTTTCTTACCTCATCTGTCCATAAAATTCTTTTTTTTTATTGAGAAATACTTTCGTTCAGCATAATTATAATTATCGATAATAGGATAACAATAATTAAAGTTTTATAAGCTAATCATATATTTATTAAGATCTCATAATATTAATAATTATATATAGAATTACTCAAAATTAATTTACATTCACTCTACTTATTTATATCTAAAATCTTTTCTTCTTCATTTCCTTATATGGTTTAAACCAGATAATGTAACTGTTCTTTGTATTTTTATAAATTAACAATTTGAATGTCGAATAAAGTACTTTTTATAAAATATCAAAACATATATTTATTCAACAAATTTTTTATTTATCATAATAACAGTTTTCTATAAAAATTAATGTAAATAATATATTAAAACTCAAAACTTTTACTTAATAGGTGAATCTCATTAGATACTCATTCTATATTAATAAATTCATTAAAAAAAATGAAAAATCTATGATGAAAAACCAACGCAATTATTGAAATTCTAAAAAGTATATAAATTAAACCCATAATAATGAATAAAAAGAAGTATAGAAGCAAATGATAGAATATTTTAATGTATAATAGATATAGTTGTTATTATTATTTAATACTCTTTGATATATTATTTAAAAAAGATAATTAGTATTATTGAATTCTAAGAAGAACTGTAAATTCGAAAAAATAAGTAAACTATTTTATTTTAAGATATTTCCAAATTATTCTCTTATTACTCAAAGTATTGATTTATAATATTAATACAAAGTTAAGTTTTTTTTAATTAATGGATATATTTTGCAATTTAGTACAGATAGTAATTTCCAAATAGGCGAGGTCCTTATTATTGATCACATATTAAGATAATTCATGAATTCTAATTGACTATTTACTATGAAATTCTATAAAATAAAAAATTTGTTATTAAATTAAGCTACTTTTTGATTATAAAAAATTGAAATTCAAGATTGATGTTATTTACTTATAAATATTCCATTAATTAATAAATATTGAACAAATAGAGAAATAATATTAATTAACATGAGATTTTAGGTTGCTGATTAAAACAACAAAATATAATAGTTTATAAATGGATAATATCGAAATTATATAAAATTAAGATAATGGATTATTGTTACTTTAGAGAATATTAGAATTACAAAATACTCTTTTATTTCAATATTAAAAATGTTATATGTACAAAATTCCACTTTCCACTTATATAATAATATGCAAAATCAAATAATCATTTAGATAATAGTTACTATTCAGAATTTATAAAAAATATTATAGGTGTATGAATAAATCTGATTTTGGGATAGTTGGTTCATCATCTCCTAAAAAATTTAATAGACTAAATTAATCACAATAATTAATCCCTCAAGAATGTTTACCGATAACAAATTAGGGTTTTAATTCTTCTCCAAGAAAAGAAAAATATAAAAAATACATTAAAAATACTCACTATCTAAGAGTACAATATTCTTCTTATATTTTAATCATAGGATAATGAAAGAAAAAAGCCTGTATGGTGTCACATCTATTAATATTAAATGAATGCAACTGAATTAGAAATGTCTAAAAAAGGAAGTATAAAAATTTAAGAAAAAAAGGAATTTGTAGAATTTGCATGATGGAAGAGGAAACCTCAAGATTTATATATCCTTGTAAATGTAAGGGGTCATAATAATATGTACATGAAGAATGCTTTAAAAGTTGGATTTTAACAAAAAATATTGTTGAAAAAGTACTTAAAAAAGATGTAATAATGATTATATTTTAATTAACAGATTAGCTGTGAAGTTTGTTCGTATAAAATTAATATGAAGGTAACATATTAGGATAAAGTTTAATTTTCTCTTTTTAAAGTTATTCCAAAGCACTAAAAAGTTTGTTGGTTAATCCTATTTTTCTTGATTTTATTATAAATAATTGGAGCATCTCTCTTAGCTGTTTTAGTAGGTTTTCGAAACTTTGGAATTGTAGCTGTTATAACATTATTAACAGGATTTTCTGCTGCTTTACTTTTTTATCTAATTGCTTAGGTGATTAATAGTCTCTCTATAGATATAATAGATTAATGGATTTTCTCAAATTATAGAGCAGAAAATAATCTCAATCTAGTTGATTTGTAATAATAAAATTTAAATTCTTAATAATAAATAAATTGTAGTCCAAAAAGCCCTAAATAAAGGAGAAAATCATGTGTACCTCAAGTTGGAGGACTTTAAATTATTCAATTTTAATAATATCCTTCTGATATTTGATTTAAGTATCTAATATATATTATCAATTTGACAAAAATATACATTTTATAATTCCATATTGTTTAAGTTTTCATTATACATATTTAATTACATAATAAAATGTGTTAAGTGATTTTATATTATCTTTAATAAGATATCATTCTAATTATTAATCAAATTGTAGAATAATCAAAAATTAAAGTAATGAAAAATTTCAATTTATCATATGTAAACCCATATATTGTACATTATAATATTATAATCTATAGTTTACAGGGGTTAAAGATCATCAAATAAAATTAGAAAATATGAATTGATGTGTGATTTGATTATAGTGTACTTTAAATAACAAAAATAATTACTAATAAAAAATTTAACCTATTCATTTAACTCAATATTTTAAGAATTCTAATTCATTAAAAAACCGAAAATCAATTATTGCCTTGAATTGTAAATTTCATATATATATTTAAAGTTAGTTTTACAATTATTCTAAAATCATATTTATAATGATTCCATTTTTATATTATTAATCATTTTATCGTTTAGAATTCTAATTCTATCTAAATTAAGATAGAGAAAGAAATTAGAGTATATATGGAATTATTAATCTTTGAAATTATAATAATATAAATTATAATTATTACTATTTCTTTAAATCTATCAATATTAAAAATTCAATAATATTAATAATTAATCCTCTGATTATGAAATAATAAAATGTAATTTTCAAAATATTAATAAAATCATATGTCACTATTAAGGAGTTATAAAAATATATAAATAGTTAGTATTATTTCAGATTAGTTATTTAAAAAATTAAAAATAATTTATAGATAAAAACTAAAAAAGTAAAGTTAAATCCAAAATATAGATTATTAATATAAAAAAAAGAATCATATTTTAAGAAAAGACAAATATATTTTTATAATTACTAAAATTACATCAAATAACAGCATATCCTCCTTCATTTGAAAGTCCTCTAAATCTTTTGATTATTCCAAAAAGTTTGATAATAGTGAAATTAATTCCATCTTTAACCAAATGTGGAAAATCTCTCCAAAAATGAGAGTGAGGTAATGCATCTACTCCACTCAATTAGTATTATTTTTTATTGTAAGCTATACCACCTCCAAAATAGAGACCAGCAATTAGAATAATATATAAAAGCAATGTTTAACTGCTACCACCTATGATAAATTTAATAATTACTAGGTGATGATCCTGATCTACAAGCAGCTGAATGTTAAATACCCAATCTAATATTGCATTTACTAGAATCAATAACTCTAAAATTAGGTTCATCTTTTCCACATGTTATTTCAAAAGTAACAGATCTTGGACTCATTTACATTTGTTCATTATCTGCAAGTATTTTTTGTAATCCAGCATCATCTTTAACATCAAAACACATATCACCTTATTATAAATATAAAAATAACCTTATTTATAGGTTATAGAAATGCCTAATTCAGGATAAATTGGATTAACATATCCAAATTCTTGAGTTTCTTTCAATCCTAATACCTTAAAAATAATAATATAATATTACATCACAATTTTCAGTCACTTTTCCCATCACTTCAAGTGCTTCAAATGCAGCCACATCTCTACCTTAACATCTGACTGCTCCTGTACAAAAATTAAATTCATAAACCATATTAAACATTCCCATGCCTTTATATATATTAATTTAGAAAATGTTACTTGTATCAGTATCAGGTACTTGATAATTATTGATATTGTGTAATTTTGAGATGTCATATGTATATCCATAGGCATCATGCCATAAACAATTTTTATCAGTAGCATAAGACGTGGTGATTAAAAACAATAATGAAAACATTAATATTAATTATTTCATCTAAAATAACTACGGAAATTTAATTCATCAGCTATTTCCATACTTAAATTCTTTTTGAATGAAGGTTCAAAATTCTCTTTACCAGATTTATTTGGTCCATTTTTTTCATGAGAACATATATGTTTAAAGGGTTCCTTAAATTATTATATGCTACTTTGCATATCAATATATGTTGGACTACTTTAATTTAATTGAGATTAAAAATAACTTTAGAAGGATTCTATTTCACTTTTACTAGTCTCTTCAATTTTCTTATTATCATTTACATCCCAGAATTAAACATTAATAGCTGAAGTGTCAAATAAATATTTAGGATATTTGATAGGTCTTGATGATTTTAATTTTAAGATATCTATATTTTCTTTAAGTTTGATTTCTTTTCTTAATTTAATTTTATATATGTTTTGCATCATAATTTAAATATTTTCTAACATTTAATCTAATGTTTCATTGTTTAATAACATCATTTCATCTACATCTATCATATTATGATAACATAATGCAATTTTTTATAGTTTATTTCTTTCATCTTAGAGATCTTTACTTAATTATTTATATTTTCTAGTTTTAGCCTTTTAATTTGCATATCTCTTTTTAGTTTATATAACAACTTCTTATTATTTCTATTTAATTTCATTCAATTAACATTCAATTGTTTATTTTTCTGATTTCAAAATAATATATTCTTCTTCTAAATTTTAATATTTTTTAATTATTCCAAAAGAATCAATAATATCTTATTTAACTTCAATATCTCTACTTCCTTTTTCAGGAACCCATAAAATTCCTACACCATGATAGTGTAAATGAGTCCATTAATATGGTATATCTTTGTTAATCATTGCTTATATATGATCAGAAATAGTAAATTGAGATTTAAATATTTTTCTTTGTTCTTCTAGTTTTTCTATTATTTTTTACATCATTTCTTATTATTACTTATCATCAACTCTTGCTCTTTACAATTCCTCAATTTTTATCTCATAATCTTTTATTACCCTATTTAAACTTTCATCATTATCAAAACCAACTATATTCTTAGATACATTATTTTCTATTTTCTTAGCATTTGTTCCAAACCTTAAAGTAGATACTGTTTATTCAAATTAACTATAACAAGGATTAACACATAATATTATGGCAGTTCTAGAATTACCTCCTAAAGATGATCTTAAAATCTTTGTTAAAGGTGAATTTCTATATGGTATATGTTGATCACTATATATTGTAAAGTTAATTACTTTCTTCCTTAAGCCCTTAGAGATATTACTTAAGTTAAAAAAAATAAACTTTTATTGATATGTTTGGATTCATTCTATCTATCTTTATATTGTGTACCACTCCCTCCTGCAGAAGTTCCTCTTTTTTTAAGCATAGAATCATGTATATTAATTTTTTCTGAACCTGCCAAATCTACAAAATTAAGTATTGATTCAGTTATCACTGAATTTGGTCCTATTGTATTTGGAACACATCTAACATATAATCTGAATATTGTATGAGATCTACTACTACAATGATTCATAACAGTTGATGCATAATGTCTATTACTTTCTCCAAATTAAAGGATATCCATTATTTCATCTATTGTTGTCACTATCTCTTCTACTGCTCCCTTAATAACAAATTCTCTATTAAAATCTTCATTTATTAATAATGTTTCACTCAATCTCTCTTAAGTAGATAGTAGATCATAAACTTAATCTGTATATATTTCAACATAACTGCATCTTAAAAAAAATTATTTGTCTTATTATTTCTCAATTTCTCCAAAAAGATCTTTGAGTGCTTATTTTAAAATTCCTTCTTCTTAATCATATCCCATCATAGTGTAAGTCTTACCACTTCCAGTTTAACCATACATAAATACTGTCCCATTTATACCTTATAATGATGATAATGTAATTCTTTAGATCTACTATTAGTAAATAAATTTCGTGGTGTGTTTAGTATCAAAACATTAATCTATTAAATATTCGATTGATTATTTATACTGAAGGTAAATTCTACTCTTTATCCAGGTACAAATTTACGCATTCTTACTAAATCATTAAATCTATCATTAGAAATTGTAATAGTATCTTAATTCTAAACAGACCAAATTTCAAGGTCATTATTGTCTTTCTCTAAAACATTTGATGGTCTAATTCTAACTACTACTTGAATGTTCTCCATTAATTTAAATTAAATATTATTTTAACAGATTATTTTACAATTAAAAATGTAGATATTGTATTGATATTAATATTGCTGATAATTCATTAATCAAAAGACCTCTTCTCTAATTTCAAGGAATTCTGAGGCAGCACTCATCTTTTGAGTAAGAACTTCTTATAATCTTTCAACGACTTCCAATTATTATTCTCTTTCAAAAGTTTAAGCTTCATATTAAGATTCTTATTCAGCAGCCCATCTCTCTTGGATAGCCAATGAATCTTCAGCATCTTCAAGGAATAACTATGTTTTAATTCAAAATAATACAGTTTAATCTTCTAAGTCTTCAACTGCTTCTTAAATGGTTACTTTGAATTAAACAATTGAATTTTCTAAGAAAGCCTTTCTCTCAACTAATCTCTTGTGTTCTTCTTATAAGTGACCACTTTAAACTTCCCAATTAGCAGCTTATCTCTCTTCTGTTGCAAGGAGTGATGCTCTGCTGGCAACCAATTATTATCTAATTTAAGCCAAAAGTTCTAAAATTTTGATGATGCTCTTGTTATCAACCTTTGAGGCTAATTATGTCAAAGCATTGATGAGTGGCTATAGTCTAGAATAATATTTTATACTTTGAAGAGAGCATGTTTGCTTTCCATTAATTTAGCTTAGACTTTCTCAAATCTGCTCTTAAGTTGAGCAAATGCAACACCTGCTTATAAGTGTTAAACAATCTTTGAAGCTTCATCAATAGCATCCATTTAGTCAACATGTTCTGCATCCTTTCTAACCCATGTTTCGTGTTATGATTGTCTTGTAGCAGATTCGTCAGCAAAACTCTTTTCGTTATTGGCAATATCAGATGTGACAACTCTAACTTCAGCTTCAGCTTCTCCCAATGCTTCAGTTGTTGAGTCTCTTAAGTTTGAAAGAGCAACGATTTAAGTTTAGTGATAAGCAATTTCTTATTCTAGGTCAGCAATGATCTAAAATTGTAATTATAAATTATACCTTCTCGAAGGCAACTGTGTCACTTTCATGAACTTTGTCAGCTTTCTTTTAATCTCCATTGAGTTATGAAGCAATGTTGTTTAAAAGGATTTAGATTTCTCCAACTGGTCCTCCTGTTGCCAATTAGAGTTGGAGGACTGACAATACAGAATTACCAAATGAATCTTTGTTGATTTATGCCAACACTTCCTTTGGACTTTCACTCTTTGCTACTCTAGCAGTTACCACTGCCAAGATAAGTGTCAAAACAGGAATGATTCTAGCCATATTAAAATTATTAATGAATTATTATCACATCCAAGCAGAAGACTAAAAAAACCCGTTTTTTAATTATTTATTTATATTCATTTTAATTCCATTATAAATAACACTTCCTATCTATTTCTAAATAATATATCACATATACATCTATATCAATGATCCTATATACATTTCTGCTCAAAATACCTAACATAAGTCAATCACTTGTAAACAATTATTGTTTTCAACGAGAAAATATAAATATTAAAAATTTAGATTACATAGCATAAAAGAATTGTAATATTTAAGATGAACCTAATCTGAAGTTTTGTTTTCTTGTATTTGATTAGTTTATACTAAGATATATTAAAGATATTTAAATTTAGAATATATTAATATCTTTAAACATGAATTTCTATTTATAGGATTTATTATTTCTAAAAAGATCTTCATAATAAAGACTAAAGATTATAATTATCTTTTATATGGTTAACAAGAATGTATATTATAGTTTTTTGGACTTAGATTTAGAACATTATTGAAGAAGATCTTATTAATTAAAATCTAAGATGAAGAAAGTAGTCTAAAATCTATATGTAATATATTTTAAATAATTAATATGAAAATCTTAATTGAATCATCTTTTAGTTGTTTATTTTATAGGAATATATAATTGTAATTTATTCTGAAATAATTGAATTCCATTTTTGTTATAATTTAAATGATGAAGATAGAAGATAAATTTATATGTTAATAGATTAAAATATTAAATAATTCATAAGATACAAGTTATCTAGTTTGAATGTAATTGTCATATTAAAGGAATACAATTTCAGATTTAAATTTTTTTATTATTTTTATATCAAATGCGTCAATAAAACCAGAAAAACACTTTTTTAAAAACTATTCCTTATACTTCTATTTTTATGGAGGCTTTAAGGTAATCTTCAATGTGGGTATCATCAAATACTATTGATGGAAATAATTAATTTTAAGGTATAGATGAATAAATTATTCAGGCAGGTTACTTTTAAAAGTTGATAGTCAATGGGAATCAGTGTAATTAAATCTACATCCTGAAAAATTATATAGAAAAGGAGTGGGATCTGAAGATTATACATCCTATTGTTAATTATAAGCATGTTTTCTAAAAAAGTTTACTCATTTTGATCCAACAATGCCTAATTATAGATATGGTATTAGACTATAATTTGGATAATAACTAACTCATTTATTATGTGAAAATGCAGATATCTTCAAAAAATGGTTTTAGTTTTTAAGAAGATTTTGTATAATGGATAAATTCGCAAGGAAATATAAAGTTTTAGGTAAAATAAAACACAGTGACCCTGTATTTGGTTAATGTTTATTTTCTTGTGTCAGAGTGTAGGATGCTGAATATCATGTTGTGAAGGTAATAGAGAAAGATGCAATTACGGCAGCATAAAAGCAAAATTTATTTAGGGAATTAAGTAATTTAAGAAAATTGAGTCATACATAAATATGTTATATTGTTGAAGTATTTGAAGATGAATAAAATGTATATATACTATATGAATACTATTTGGGAATTGATTTAAGATCATACATAAAGGAATCCTAAATATATTAAATGGCAGAATAATCAACATAGGGATTAGAAGAGAAATTAGTTGCAGATATAATCTATGGGATTTTGTAAGCAATTTAACATATGCATTCAAAAGGAGTATTTCATAGAGATATAAAAATGGAAAACTTATTTATACCAGAAAAGAAACGTTTACCGTTTGTTATTTTAGGTAACTTTTGTTATTCTGAAACAACAGATTAATCATAATATAAAAAATGTGGTACTCCTGGATTTGTTGCACCTGAGATATTTCGATCCAAAAATTATACAAGTAAAGTGGATTTATTTTCTTTGGGTGTAATATTTTATCTTCTAATTTATGGAAAATTACCATTTGAAGGTAAAGATTAAGAAGAAATACTAAGATCAAATGAAAAATGTGAAATAGATTTTAAAATAGAGTATTTATATATATATATTGATTAAATTAGAAAAAAAATATGCAAGAAAATTTCAAATTCTGGAATGGATTTATTAAAGGGATTATTGAATAAAGAACCAATTAAAAGATTGTCAGCTGTTTAGGCACTCAATCATCATTGGTTTATTAAAATGGGTACAAGACATTAAAGAAATCAATATCTTTAAGTTTAAAGAGGGAAGTCTTTATCTACTATTATTGAAAATTCTGTAGATATTACTTAAAGGTAAACAATATTTTCAATTTTAGTTATTATTAATCCAATTCATAATTGCATCAATCTACAAAAGAGGATGACAGATTAGACAGAGTAGAAAAAGAGTTCATTTAAGGTAGTCTATATGATAAATTGCTCCATTTTAATAGTATTTAGTATTAGCCTTCTAAAATTCGTCACAATTAGTAATAATAGTGATAATTTTATTTATATTTTTTTTAAATATAATTATATGTGAAAAACAAGAATTTTTAGGAGATAATGATTAAAATTATTTTATAATATTAATTTTGTATTATTATATTGTACCTTATCAATTTGAAAAAATAGAAAATATGAATATTTATAAATTCAGATAAAGATGACCATTTTGCTGATAAATGGTTGTTTAGAAAGTGTATCTATAACATTTGTAACTTTAAAGATATAAATAAAGTATTAATATAGTTATTTAATATCTAGATTGATTTATAAATATATCAAAAATTAATCTTATATTTGCTTACATTATAAAATTTTATGGATCAATTTTATATCAATTTCATGCGTAATTATGTCTCTCTATTTATTTAGTCAAAAGAAATAGATTCACTGCATCATAATGAATATCAAAATAGTCTATACAAAATATAGGACATAACATTAAATGTTATTTAACAAATATTATCATTTTTAAATGTAAGGGAAATTAATAGAAAATTACACCAATCTTATTTTATAGGAAACCTAATAGAATTTAAATGTTTTGTGTTTATAATACAATTTGAAATAGATTTAATTTAATAAAGTAAAAAAACAAAGAATATATAAATAGTTTTAATAATAACAACATCCAATTAATAAAACTTTATTGTCATAGAGACTAAATTAGTAGAGATAATATTTAAAAATAGAAGAAGAAAAAATTATATTAATTGAATATACTTGTTTATATTTATTTTAAAGTAATGAGGTAATACCAAATATCTACTTATCAAATTTAATAATTTTTTTGACTTTTAAGAAGTGCAATATTCTTGTAATATATAATCTATTTTTAAAGAATATAAAAGAGTTTAAAATTCAGAAGATTTGGATTAAAAATCATTTTAATTGATCTAAACTATTAGTTTTATTGTACAGGTTACATAAACTAATCTTTCAGTAGGTGAAAAGAATTCATTAATCAAAATACAATATAAAATATTAATAAAATTTGTTCCATTATAAATCTTATATTTCCTTATACAATACCGAATTATGAATTATTATTATTATATAGGAAGCAATATCAATGTTCTATTATCTTTCCCCTTAAGAGAGTAATAATGTAATTTTTATTATTCTTGCTTTCTTAATAAATTTAAAAAACTCTATTGTTAGGATTGCTATAGTTTTTTAATATGTATTCATTAATGATGATTAATTATTATTTAATACAAGAATTACATATATTTATATATTCATTGAAGAGATCTTCTTCCATATTTATTGTTTAGTTAACCAATTAAATTAGCTCTTACGGATTTAGGTATATTGTTTAATTTAAAACTGTCCTGATCAGAAGCTTTTGTATAAGATGAATCCAGGTCCACATATAGAGATTAAGTCTTTTATTCAATGTAATTGCCTATTTATTGATTTTTGGTTTATGAGCTAAAGTTTTCACTCTGTCTTTTTTTCTTCTTTTCACAAGCCTTTTGATGAAATCTATTCTTCTCCAAACTAAAAGCGTTCATCGATTAATAATAATAATGGTTAGATAAATGATAGCAATCAATGATTAAATCGCTATTAAAATATCTTTGAAATTCATTTTATTATTTCAATCAACAAGTAAAGAATATATTGATCAAATAACTAAAAAAAAACATTGAATAAGATCTATGAAGCAACTAATTATAAGAATTCAAATTTTAATTAACCACATAAATTATTTTATGTTAATTTTTATTAAATGATATCAAAAATATATCTTAATTAAATAATTAAAAAACAATAATTAGTAATAAAGTCAAATTAAAAATATTGAGGATTTATATAATTTATGTTAAATAGATGTTTAATATATTTTTTACTTTATTATTATCTTCATAAATATGAAATTACATAAATAGTTTTTTGACAAATAGAAAACTAAATATTATATTTTTGATGAAAATAAATTTATTAATTCTTTAAATAAAATTATATTATTTAGATATAAAATGAACAATTATGGTTAAGGATAGAATTGTAAATATCTTTATTAATACTTTTAGAGTAGATAATAATTTAACAATTGTTCTATAAGATTGAATAGTTAATGATAGAAATATAAAAATTAACCAACTTTTCCAATCAATTAATTATGAATCTATAGACTCAAGAAAATTAATACAATACACTTAAGAGATAGTTTAATGATATTTGGGGTTAATTAAGTGAATAATAAAAGATCTGGTTTAATTTAAAAAATAATACTCAACATTATACATTATCAAATGAAGCTTTTGTAATGTCTAATTTAATAACTGATATAAAGAGTAGAGTATCAGAGATACAATAATTTAATACTTATTCATATGATTAACCAAAATATAAAAAATGTTAATCATGTGCAGAAAAAGATTATACTATAAGCAATTTGAAAGCATAAATATAAAAATAAGCATAAATTTTATTAAAATTATAATGTATAGAATATTAAATGTATATTTATAGAGGATAATGAAATCCCATAACCTTAAAATAGTATTTTAAATTATTCTAATCAAAGAATTCATACTGATGGATTAACAAGGTAAAGATTTGCGTCTCAAAAACTATTTTAAAGTAATTTAAGTACAACAACAGCTCCTGGATCAAGATTTTGATAATTTATATAATTTTTGTTATAAATTTTATAAATAAATAAAAAAATCGATAAAATTTAATTCAATTTTTTTTAATATTGGATTTAGGAGATCTATCTTTGGTTACATTTAAGGATTGATCCTTTTTTTATGGTTTTTTAAGCAAATCATGTTTTTCTTTATTGGACATTAAAGTCATCAATTGAGAAGTTAATTAAATAAATTCAGATTTAGTTAAAGAATATTTTCCTTATTCCATTTCTTATAATAATGGAGTAATTGCTTAAAGAACTTGAGGATCTAAATTTGTAATATCAATTCTTAATGAATCAATCTCACCATCTTAATCAGAATCCAAGATATCAAATATATTTGAAAGTTTATTTTAAATAGCTTATTAAATAATCTTATCAGATTGATGACTGGCTTTGACTTAAGATTAAAAAAGTGCTTGATCCATACTTGATGATAAAAGTTAAGCTTTTTTATCTGCCAATGTTTTTGCTTAATTATAAAGGGAATCAAATAAATTATCAGGACGAGATTCAGGAGGTCTACCTGTCTTAGGTCTAAAGCATTCATCAATTGATTATTATTTATCTTTAATAGAAGTTAAATATTTTTATTGTCTTTCTTAAAATGTTTATCCAGAAACAAGTTATTCTGATAATTAATCTATTTTTGGATGGAATGTATGAGTTTCAGTAAAGTATTCTTAATCTTTTTAATTCAATTTGAATTATCGTATTGTATTAACTTAATATAGTTATTCATAATGAGGAATTTAAATTTAAGAAGCTTTTTTCTTTTCTTCAATAATTGCTTAAGATCTAATTAATTTAATTATATTACTATTTATCAATTTATGGATGGAAAGAACATTATTATTATTATTCTTCAACTTTATGAAATTAAGCTTGTTCTTTCTTTTCAGATATGACTTTAGCTAATTAATTCAAATAAAGACATATAGGTTCTGAAGGTCTATGAACAATTTTAGATGATATTGGATTAATTGATGGTTTATGAGTACATTCTATCATCTATTATTATTATTTCTCCAATAATGCCATTTCAGCTTTTAAAATAAACTCATCTTTTTTTGACATTCCTCTTTAATATAATAATTATCCATAATTAATATCTGATTCTTAATTATGTACTAATTAATTAGATATTTATAAGCGTTCAGAGTCTTGTCTTTACATTTTCATTTTTTTTATTTAAGCACTTTGATACAATCTATCAAAAACATTGCCATCTTTTTTTCCTTAAGGTGTTTTTGGAGATTAAGTACTAATTTGTTTTATTAAATTTTATTATGTCACTTGTTCTTATTAATTTTCTTATGTGATTTATCTTTCTTTTAATTTTTACAACTAATATCATCTATTATATATATATACATATTGAGTCATGTTTTATTTTTCTTTTTAAGCCACTATCATATTCTGCTTAATATTTTCAGCTAATATTGGTATTAGTCGTTGATTTAATTTATGTTAATTGCAGAAATTCATAGCCAATAATTCTGGCTCATCATCTTCAAATACATCTATCCTTGCTGTGTTTTTATCATCAATTTAAACTGTCATTACAAGTAATTGACCACACTTTTCTAATATCAACAAAGATTACTTAATCTTCAACAGAATTTTGGCTCATTGATATTTAATAAACTAAATTAAAATTAATAGTGACATTAATCAAATAAAATTGAATAAGTAACATGATCTGTCAAATAATTTAAAATTCAAATATTATTACAATCATTATTTACAATACAAAAGAAAAAATTAATAATAATCTATATACCATAATAAATCTAAATTTATTTCCTATTATAAAAAAATATATAATAATTTCTTTAAATTTCCTTATTATTATTATTACTACATATTTAAATGTATAATTATTATTGGAATTCTATATAAAAATAACAATGATTGAATAATATTAAAGAACTTAAACTTAGTTTACTCAATTAACTATTTCATGTTACTAATGTATATAATATATATAATAATTTTATTATATATATATATAATAAAACAAATAAATTAATTTCCTAAAAATACATATGAAAAAATTCAAGGAATTGAAAAAGACAGGTGATGGAACATTTGGAGTTGTAATAAAAGCTGAAGATACATAAACTCATGATTTAGTTGCAATAAAAAAGATGAAATAAAAATATCATAATTTTGATGAATGTACTAATTTGAGAGAAGTTAAAGCTTTATTAAAACTCCAAAATCATCCCAATATTGTTAAACTCAAAGAAAGTATAATATATGAATAATTAGTTTTCCTTGATAATGATACTCTATGTTTAGTATTTGAATTTGTAGAAAAAAGTATTTACTAAATGTACACTCAATAAAAAGAAATGGTATAATTTATTTATTAATTTTAGGGTAAAATTATTTCAGAAGATTAAATCAAATCTATTATCTATTAAGTTGCTAATGGTCTAAGTTATATGCATAAACATGGTTATTTTCATCGTGATCTTAAACCAGAAAATATGTTACTCACTAACAATGGAATAGTTAAAATTATTGATCTTGGATGTGCAAGAGAAATAAGATCTAGACCTCCATATACAGATTACATTGCCACTAGATGGTATCGTGTAAAATCTCAATTAAAATTTATAGGCTCCAGAAATACTTTTAAAGTAGGCCAATTACAATAGTCCTGTTGACATTTTTGCATTAGGTTGTATAATGGCAGAATTATTTTTGAATAGACCACTATTTCAAGGTAATTCAGAATTGGAATAATTCAATAAAATTCTCTCTACACTAGGGTATATTATTATATTTAAATCTATTAGAACATTTACTCAATAAGAATGGCCAGAAGGATGTAGATTAGTATCTTAAATGGGATTGGCACTTGCTTAATTTTAACCATTACAACTATAATAATTGATACCAAATGCAAGTACAGAAGCAATAAATTTGTTAACTTAAATGATTAGATGGGATCCTAATAAAAGAATAACTGCTGCATAAATGTTGACTCATCCCTTTTTCTATAATATTGAAAAAATAGCACCCTCTTTGATTTTTGAAGAATAAAACAAATAAAAAGATGAACTTAAATTTTTTGAATCTCATCATAAAGCCAAATCTTACAGTTAAAAGGATGAATTTTAAACTTAGTTTAAGCAAAAATAATAATTATAATAAAAAATCAAAGATGATGATAGCAATGATTTAGATGATATTCTAGATTTCATTACTACTGAAAATAAACCTATGCCATCTAAATTAACCACTTAAAGTGCAAAGACACTAGACTTTAATGAATATATTCCATCATCATAAACTCTTAATCGTTAACCCAGAAATTTATAATCAAGTTAATTACAAGAATAAAATAAAAAAGAAAATAATTCTATTTACGATTTTAGCCATTTATAAAGTTTTAAGCCTAACAAACAACCAAATTTAAATTCTAAATATTAATGATTTTGCATTCTTTATTTTTATATTTATATATAACATTATTACAGTTTCATTTTATTTAATTAAGTGAAATTGAATTCTTAAATTTTATAAAAATATTTCAATTAATTTATTTCGATCTATTAACTATTTTTACATACTTAATTTAAACTAAAAATAGACAAATATCTATTGCCAAATATTACTATATAAGATTATATAATTATAGTTTACTTTATTTACATCATTATATTTTTGTTATCAATATTAAGATCTTATTCTGTCTACCTGTATCTCAAGTGAAGTAGTATTTTATTTATAAATAAGAATTATACTGTATCATTTATTATTTCTAATCTTCTCTATAGAATGCGGATATAACAATAGAGTTATTTTAATATTTAATTAATAATATTATTTTATAGCTATTTTTATTAAATTTTAATTCAATTTAATATTTAAACTAATATTATTTTTTAATAAGAAAATCTATATACATTATTATTAGTGCTAAGTGGTCTCAATAGTTAATAAATATATTTAAAAACTGAAGTATATCTGTATGTTCCTAAAGGGTAAATCAAGTTTAGCACTCTTTTTGGTCATATTACTTAAATGACTAAATTAATTACATTGATAAGTTAAAAATGATTCAATCTTGTTAAATTAACTATTATGACTGAACATTTATTATTGATTTACTTCTAAAAGCTTTAAATTAGTTAACAATATAATTGAAATAAACAAAAAGTAATCCCTTAATGTCCATATTTTCATTCATCTTTGTTTATTAATACAAACTCAAACAAAAATTATTAGAGATCAATATAAATAATGAGATATATTTTAATTTAAATATGGAAGGATACAAATTTAATCAGGAATGTAGGAAATTTGAAATAATTAAATAATTTGCTTTAAAGCATTATAATCAATATAAATATTAAATAAAAAAAATCATCCGAGGCAGGAGTCGAACCTGCAACCTACAGCTTAGGAGGCTGTCGCGCTACCATTACGCCACACGGACATATTAAGTAATTTGTGATTAATTCATTTATAACCTAATTCAGTTTCAGAAATAACAGAAATATAAGGAGATTGATATTTTATTTATTAATGGAGTACTTTTAAATTAATTTCAAGTTGTGAATACTAGGCTTATTAACTTATTTATTATAAATTTTATATAATAAATATAAGTATTTTTTATAAACATATTTATGTCAGAAATCATAATTTTTATTAAGTAGCCTGTTGACTGAGTTTTTGACTGTCCAAGCAGTGCCTGATGATAATGGAGCTTTGATAAAGTTGAGTGATACTCCTTTGTAAAATCCTTTAATGATTCCCTCAACTTTATAGATAGTTTTTATCTGTACCCATGTGGATCTTAAATTATTATAAAATAAAAAGTACGTCATCATTTAGATCTCTCCTTATTAGAGTAACACATTCTAACCTTACATTCTTTTCTTCACAATATCAAAAGGATAAGCTAAAACTTATGCAATGATGGCTCCACTTGCCCCTATAGCAAAATCTGTACTTTTGTGTTTAGCAATCCATGGATATTATTCAAGTAGATACTCCTTCATCAATGTAAATGAGAAGAAACCACTCCCATGATAAATTCCTACTCCTATAATTCCTATAGGTAATCCTGAATAGAAAGACATGAATCCTTCAATTTTATATATTTTCACTGCAGCATCATAGATGTTTTTATATAAGAAAGCATCTTTTTGCATTGCTAATCTTGTTCGTAAAAAATCAAAAGGATAAGCTATGCTTTATGCAATAATCCCTGAAGTTAATCCGCATAAAAATAATCTAATTTTCCTCATAATAGTTTTATCCTCCCTATCTGGAGCAAATCTGCTTCTTAAATAATCGAATGTAGAAAAATTCTATTGTTTTGAATATAATTTACAATAGCTGATTGAGGGAATATTCTTAACACATTAGCTTGATTACCCCTCCAGAAATTGATGAAACCGTGATGTTGATACACATATATAGCATCTTGGATAGCAGCTTTATATGTGAATTGAGTTGATCTAGTCTATGGTATATATGATAACAAATCAATACCAAATATAGTAATTTGATTCTTTCAAATGGAGAAATGACAGTTTTGGCACAAACTCCAGCACAACCACCTTTTTATAGATTAAGAATCAATACCTGAAATAAAACTTGTCCAATAGTCTTTTTGTTTATTAGTCATATATTAAAAATGAACATAAATCAATTTCTAAATTGAAAGAAGAGCTCAAAAAAAAAAAGAATTCAATTCAATGATTTCAAATATATTATGGTATTCATTTAAAAATCAAAGAAATCTTAAAATAGGAATTAAAGAACTATTTTAGAATCAAGAATATTCAATTAATTATTGAGATATTTTGTAAATAAAATTGATAAAGTCTCATATTATAAATCATTATTACTTGTAATAGATGTTAATTCCTATAGTTGATGATGGTATAATGTAGAATTTAAATTGTTTATTTAATTAATTTGTATATCTAAGGTAGTTACTCTTTAAAACTTTTTATAAGGATAATAATAAAAGATGCTCATTACATTAGACTTTTAAAAATAAATGATGAAATCAATTTAAGAACTATTTTATTTGAGGTTTATTTTTATTGTTAAATAATATATATGCAATTTAAATGGTTGAGAAGTAAACTACAACTTATTTAATAAATAAGGAAATTTTATTAAGAAAAATAATTTATACAACTTTTGAATTGGTTGGTCTAAAAATAAATTGAATTGATGTGTAATATAACAATCTTTTACATTTTAATAATGCATTGATTTTCAATAACAAAAATACTTAGAATTTATTATATGTATATTTTTATTTGCATAGATGATATAGGTTAATAATGTATCACTTTTTTTATTGTTCTAAACCTTGTTTAATGCGTGGTACTAATTCCTCTATTTAATTAATAGATGTATGAATTACCTCTTACTTATCTTGCCTTCTCTCTTATTTACTACATATTTTTGCTTTTAGCATTTGCTCTAATTTTTTTGAACATAGGGGCATATTTAAATACATCTGGGATCACTACAAATCTGATCTGACTTCCTCTCAAATATACTTATTCTAAAGACATGGGTCTACCATCTCTTGTTACCATTTACACTTCATCTAATCTTACATTCATTGTGTCCTAATATATATTTTGTATTGATTACTTCTGCTTCTGCCATATATCCTGTAAACATTTCTCCTGTTTTAAGTTCAACTGTGACGATATGATGAACTGCTTCATGCATAATTTTGAGTGGTACTCCTAAAGACATTACTTAATTTTTATATTAATTATATAATTTTAATTAATATTGAATATAATATTAAGATTTTATAGAGACTGAACTAAAAAATCAATGACTCTTGAAATCAACTTAATTTAGTCTTTATTTTGAGATTATGATTGCATATAAATATTAATAAAAATAAAAGATTTTAATTAAATAAAAATGGACAATAAGAAATGCTTATTTGAGAGATTTGGAGGTGATCAATAAGTTTCTGAACTAATTGATCAATTCTACTATAAAGTCCTCTTTGATAAATTATTAAGAGATAAGTTTCTCAAAGCTGATATGAGTCGTGTAAGATATTAATAGAAGAGATTCTTTTCCTAAATGATGGGTGATAAAAACACTCAATACACAGGCAGGTATCATACTCTTATCTAAGTATTAGAGATTTGGTTGAAGTTCATAAAAATTTGAACATAACAAATTAGCAGTTCGATAAATTTAAAGTGCATCTCAAAAACATTGCATAGGACATGGAAGTAAGTGGAGCAGATTTAGAAGAATTACTAGATCATGTTGAAAAGTATAGAGAGACCATTGTGTTTAATAAGGCAGCGTGATTCTATAATTATACATTCACATACACAATTTCATCTATATACTTTACATACGCATCATTAACCAAAAATGTGAAAATAAAAAAGGTTCAAATGCATTTAAAAATAATCAATCTATATTTTTGTTATTCTTAAACTTAAATCATACTTAACAATAGTAATGTACTCTAAATACATCAATTGATTATACATCTAATTATTCTAGAATCAACAAATCAATGAATAATTAAATTTATACAAAATTTATTAATATTTATATGTATAATTATATATATATACTTTCAACCCTTTATATATATCTAAACTCTCAACTTTAATATAAGATGACTCTTATCACATGCTTTCCAATTCAATTATTAATTTTTCTTAATATTTTTACTTCATCAGCAATCTCTTACACAGTGATTACATTTCTTAATATTATGATGTCCACTTCTTCTGAAATGATTCAACTATCATGTTTGATTAATGTCTTTTTTCATATTGAATATAAATACTAAATATTTATTATTTAAATCCTGATAAACTAAATCAATATCAATAGATTTAAATAATTTTCAGTATTCCAATATGGTTGCTTTTCTTGATCACATTTAAAATTTTCAATCATTACAAAATTATATAGTTTTTGATTTTCTATTGAATTGGAACCATTAATATCAGATCATACAAATAATTAAATACTCTATATTTACAAGTTTTTAGTTCAGAATCCTATTTTAAATCATAATAATTTATATGTTAGCATTTAATCAAGTAATTAAGACATTTGTAAAACATTTCAAAAATTAATTTTCATTCCCAATATAAGAAATATTAAATGTAGATCTTAATTAATTTACCTTCTTTCCTTGAGTAAGAACAATTGCTAATTTTTATAAAATTTAATAATGAGCTAAAAAGATTCCCTTTAATAACCTTTAATACGAGAAGATGAGGTTAATGAAATCATATTGGGAAATCGTTCAGGCACAGAAATGAATATGGAATAAATTGTTAATGATAGTGCTTTTGAATGGGGATCTACATCACCTATGGAAGAGGATAATTAAGTGAAAGTAATTCCATTTGTTGCTAATGAAACAATATTTTATCGTAATACACTTGAAAAGCCTAATA